TCCCTCTGGCTGGGAGGATCGCCCCCACATCCTGGAAAGGCCTTGTTGACAGACGCCTGTTGTGGTACCTGCTCCCCCAGCAGCCCTCCAGTCTAACCCCAGGGATCAAGTTATGCTGACATCTCGGAACAAGGGAGCTGGGAAGTTAAGGCCCCAGCTGTGAGTGGCCTCTGCCACAAATTGCCCCTTAGTCACTCATTTTTTCCTTTCTGCTTTTTTATTTACTTATTTATTTTATTTTTTAAAAATGTGCCAGAGGGCACGTGCACCTGCCGGAGTGAGATGGAAAGCAAGAAAGCACTCCCCCTGGGGGATGAGCATGCTGCCATCCTTTCTGCATTTCTCCCTCAGTTCAGGATTTGGGGCATGCATGCACATGCGCCTGGCGTGTTTTCCAAGCCAGTCGACCACATGGGATCCAGCCACCCTAACCACCACGCCGCTGGCTGGCGTGTTTTATTCCTTTCATGGTGACAGATGTACCTGTTGGCAGTGTGTGCCTGTGTATCTGTGCCAACTCTAGAGCCCCGGGGAGCACAACAATTGAAAGCAAGAACGGAGCCATTGGTTCATCAGAGAAACGACAGTCACAACAGCAGCTGTCCAAGAAGCAAGTTTCCCCCTCGCTTTCCTTTTCTTTATCTGGCTCTCTGCCTTCCTGTGTCAGATCTAAAATGTTATCTGAAAAGTAGCTGTTATCCCTTCTTTCTGTATTCCAAGTAAGATGAGTCTAAACTCGCATGTCTCTCTGCGTAATGTTTCTGTGTTGCCTCCAACTTGAAACTTAAATCCCTACAGGGCAAGATGACAATTACATTAAAATGTTTAGTGTCCTGAATATTATATAAAACTATTATTTAGGATTCTGCTTGGTCTTGTGCCTCTCTTACCCTCATTCATTTTTCTGTAATAAGATGTTACAGGGATCCAGGAATCACCCAATAACTTCATCTACTCAAAATACAACCTCAAAGTAGGATGTGGGGCTCAAAACCTTTCTGAGTAATCCAATTACATGTTATGAAAACCATGTCCTAAAGGTGTCAGTAGTTCCTTACAGCAAAAAAATGAAAAGGAAAAGACAAAAAGGCCTTTAATGAAATTAAGCAGATACTACTAGCAAAAGTTCTTAATAAAAATAGAGACTTAGGGGGCCAGCAGTTGGCTTGGTGGTTAAAGCACTGGACTCCCACA